GTGACTCCATACAATAAGCACTGGACTGCGAACCTTAAGGTCTGTGGTTTGAGTCCACTCCACGGGAGAAAGATGAGGCTTTATGCTCCCGAAAAGATTTGAAGCCTCAGGAAGCCTACACAGGATTGCTGTGAATCGGAACCGACCCAACAGCACTTAACAACCATGACGACGCTCTGTTGGATGCCACGGAGTTGATTCCCACTCATAGTAACCACATGTGACAGACTGCTGCCCACTACATGAGCTCTGGCGGGGGGGGGGGGGGAGGGTTAGAACAGCCGACCTTTTGGTTGCAGCTGAGCACTTAACCGTCGCATAAGGACTTCTTCCTAGGTTCTACAAAAACAAAAAAACCCATACAACGAGACACACCTTGAAGTCCGCTCTTAACTGGCCCAAGCTGTTACCTCTTAACCAGCCTTGCCATCATCTGCCTTGTTCTACCCAGTACCTAAGACCTCCTCAAAGCCTTGATTTTCATTGCCATCCTGTTTGCTCCATAAGCTTCACTGTACTGGAGACAGCCTGGACTTCCCTGCATGTTGTTCAATGCCACCAACAGCCCATTCCCTCCCGACATCTCCTAACTTTTCCCAAAGATTTCTCTTTGGGAAAGTCAACATTAATACATGTCTACCTTGCTTGTCATATTGTCAGGACGGACCAGTCACTGGAGAAGGATATCATCTTTGGTAGGGTGGAGGGTCAGAGAAAAAGAGGATGACCCCCAACAAGATGGACTGGCCAAGTGGCAGCATCGATGGACTCAAGCATGGCAACAGTAGTGAGGTTGGCCCAGGATCAGGCAGTTTCGTTTTGCTGTGCATAAGGTCGCTATGAGTCGGTACTGACTTGATGGCACCTGACAACAACAACTTGGCGTGTGGCGCTGTGGGTTAATGTGTCAAACTGCAAAGCCAGTTGAACTACAAGACTGGCAGTTCAAGCTCACCAGCTGCTCCTTGGAAACCCTATATAGGGTTGCTATGGGTCAGAACCAACTTGATGGCACTTAACAACAACAACCTTGCTAAACTCACAGGAGTATATGAAGATTCAATTGCTTATTTTGGTTAGAGAGAGTCTCTATGTTCAAGACAATATAAAAAACACAAGGAATTATTATTATTGTACCCTAAGTACACCACAAGGCATTGCATTCTACCCAAAAGGCCGGTAGTTCAAACCCACCAGCTGCTCCTCAAGAGAAAGATGAAGCAGCCTGCTTGTGTAATGATTTACAGCCTTGGAAACCCAAGGGGGCAGTTCTGTTCCATCCTATTGCGTCACTGTGAGCTGGAATCAACTGGACAGCAGTGGGTTGTGTGTGTGTGTGTGTGTGCGCACGCGTGCGTGTAGAGGGGGGACACACCCTCAAGGAGTCCCTGGGTATCACAAACAGTTAAGCACAGTTACTAACTGAGGGGTTGCAGGTTTGAGTCCACCCAAAAGCACCTCAGAAGAAAGGCCTGGTGATCTGTCGAAAGGTCACAGATCTTATAAACTCTCTGGAGCCCGACTGTACTCTTACACACATGGGGTTGTCGTGAGTTGGAATGGACTTGACAGTGGCTGTTTGTTTGTTTGTTTAGCATCCTCTCCCCAAGCTTGGCCTTCTCTGTGCAGCATATTCTGCCCACTGTAAACGCCTCAGCTCTCATCCCCTGAATCAGTCAATGAGCCCCGAGCCATCCCACTCTAACTTGCACTGTGACTGGTGTTTCTCCACATACGTAGTGTGCCACCCAGAGCTCTGCAGTGTGTCACACACAGTAGGTGCCCAGGGAATGAACCCCAACATCCATGGTTTGATTTTCTACCATGTATTACAGAAAGAGTAGGTTTCTTTAAGGCAGCCTTATATTTAGTTTGCTACTTAAATATGGATTTATTTGGGACACAATGCTGAAGTCCCAGAGATATTTTAAGTGCTTCACACAAATCTATGGGCTCTCCAGTTAGCTTCCTGTGGGAGCCGGACTAGTGCCCACAGCCTCCTGGCTTGACCCTTCAGCCACCTTGGCCATCCCTTGTCCTCCTGAGTCTTTATTCCTACATTCTCCTCAGCTCACTTTCATGACCACATGAAGGTTTCCTCTGAGCACCTTGCATTCTTACCTTCCAGATGAGACCTACTGGGTAATGAAATGCTCAATGAACTTGAAATTCCTACATATTCTGGAAGTTTTCAGAAAGAGTGTGCAGTGGCAGCAGTGACTTTTGTGAGATGGGAGTGGGCATGAGAATAAAGTTTCTGAGCAAATGCAACTCAGAAGCGCTAAGGGCAGGGCTTGGGGATGAGCCCTGTGTAAGCCCTGGGTGTTAGCTCTCCAACTGGTCTGCATCTAAGTGAGGAGCGCTCCCATCCTGGGACCCTCAGCCCTGGAGTTCCCCCTCTCCTTTCCAGTGACTCACCACATGGGAAATGACTGTCGGGTTATCATGAGCCGCCCCCCCCCCTCCCCACATACACATGAGACAGTTACAGCTGGGCAGGGGTCACACCTACTTACTGACTCAGTGTTTGAATAGCTAAGCACAGGCAGGACCTGGCATGGAATTGACATTCCAAAAGCAATTCTAAAAGGAGCCCCGGTGGCACAGAGGTGAAGTGACTGGCTGCTAACCAAAAGGTCGGCAGTTCCAACCCACCCAGTGACTCTGTGGAAGAAGACCTGAGGATCTGTTTCCACACCGATCCCAGCTTAGGGAATCCTAGGGACAGGTCTCCTCTGTCAGAAGTGGTCAGTGTGAGTTGACGTTGATTGGTGGCACCCAACAGCGACAACAAGCATTTGTGAACACACACACACA